CCTCACCCAGAGGGCGTGTTATGCACCCTCACGATGTGCACATTTGGTGAGATTCCACCTCATCCCCTCCCTCCTTCTGCCAAATGTCCTCCCCCTCCTTCTCCCACTTCCTTCTACCCCCTAACTGGACTATATTATTGTTTTATTTTTCTTATGAGCAGGGCATCTATTACTTTTACTAAAGTAATCTTTTTACTTTACTTTTTACTAAAAGATATAAACAAAAATGTAAGAATTCTTTTAGTCTCAAGATGTGTAAAAATTATTATCCAATCTTATCCATTGACTTACATAGATTCATAATGATCCTCATTTGCATTTATAAAAAAAATTAAAGGATTTTCCTATCTTACTTCAGTATTTTTGCAATCTGAGGAAGGCATAGGCCATTTGAAATGAGTATTTGTATGTGACTTTATCCGTGCAACAGTTTTGAAAATTTACAAATTAGACAAGAAAACTGCTATTGTGCTAGTTGAAATATTAAAGAAAAGTGCCGTTATCCTTCCATTTTCCTCTCCAACCAGTTAGGTGACATGAAGAGTTTTAATTGGTAGGAGGCTTTGACAAAGAAGGCATGAGCATATTTGACTAAAATTAAAAGCATGCTAAGTTGATGTCAAAGAAGGCCAGAAAAAGTTAGATGTAGCATCATAAAAAAAAAAGTAAAAATCTATGTTTATGTACAGCACAGTAGTTTATGCTACTGTGACAATTTACTTGCTGGCTGATTTTATGATTTAAATATGATACAATGTGAATAAATCTGTTGTCTGCTACAAAACATTCACTTTATTGCATTGGTGTTGGAGTACTTTTTTGTTAAGTAAAGCCAACTAAGGATGATATACATATCTGATTATAAATCAACCAAATTTTCACATGAACACCCCATGTTCTCCTTTCTTTGACCCCTAATACTTTATTATAATTCTACATTTTTCTTTTATTCCAGAACCTTATTTTGAGGAGGAAATAATCCACTTTAAGAGGAAAGAGTTCTTACAACACAAAGACTTAGAAAAACTGTTAGAAGAAATACGTGTATATTAGTTGGAAATCATTTATTGCCTCTATAAAAGTTTAAATAGAAACCCTAAAAATATTCACATTATAATCTGATATGGTTTTAAGTTGATAGTATGTTTCAGAGGTAGTACCAGTAAAATGGGATATGGGATTGCTAAAAGGAATTACCTAACAAGTTAATGCAAAATAAAATTCCAATATGGAGAAATATATACTCAGTATACACTTTAATGGAACAATCATTATTACATTTGCATGAAATATTAATTTACTCTCTTTTCTCCCTTAAAAAATCTGCTCTTAATAAAGGTTTGTTTTGAGAAATGGACTTTGACCATAGGCTCTCAAGTTAGCAGGCTTTCCCATTATAGTATTATAGAACATAACTTGGTGAAGAGCATAATACAGTACTATCTGTCCAGGATAACACCAATTTCAAAGAGAAATCTGCCCACTTACTCATCATTTACATACTATAGCACTGATAACTCCCTTAAAAAGATAACTTTTCAAATTTTTTCAGTTTTAGAATCTGAATTAAAATCTACTATTTAAAAAAAACAAATGATATCATAAATGCAATGTGGAGGAAGTTTAAAAGTTAAAATTTTTAGAATTTCTTTTAAAAATGATCATAACTTCTTAGGATGAGATGAGGAAATTAGCTAAATGTCCTCCTGTTCTACCAAAAAAAAAAAAGGCTACAAAGATAATTTTAGAGTTCAAAATTCTTTTAAATCCACCACTTATATTTTGTCCTAGAAACTTCCATAAAGTGCCTCAAAACAGATGTTGCCATTTTTAGAGAAATGGAGTTGAACTTTGGAGAAATGGCCTGTTGGACATCTTTGTAGGTCTGAGTGTGATTGGGTCTTAGCCTTTTCTTCTGGAACAACAGCAAACATTTCTATTATTTGATTACAATGGTAGTGCAAAAGTCCCGTGGTTGATAATAGACCTCGTATACAAAACATCCTTATGTTCCATGAAAAGGCCAATTTTCTTTTAATGTTTTCCTTGCATGTGCTGGTTTTCTGATTGTCTAGGACAACTGCAATTCTGGTTTTCTTCTGACTAACTTTAGCTTGGCTGAAATGAAGAAGCTGTTTTTTTTTTTTTTTTTCTTTTAAGTCACAATTTGGAAGGTATGTGTCCTTACATATTTTCTGCTTAGAAACTGCTTGACTATACTAAGCTTAAAGCAGATATCAAAATAGATATTTGAAATGTTTAAGGTACAGTATCTAAAGACTACTATGTCACAATTGTCACCCAAATTGTGACACTGTCTATAGTGTGTTGACATCTGGTACCAACTTCTAAAACAGCTAAGTAACATTCCCATTTTATGTGTGTACTCACAAAATAGTATCCAAGAAATTCTGAGACTGTAATTTACAACCACATTAGTATAAATCTTTTTAAAATATGTACTTGGCTGATGGCTCTGTACTGATCTCACATGTAAGTTAGGCAAATTGTGGGCCAAAGATGAGTGACTAAATTAAAAAAAAATCTCAGTAGCCAAATTAATGTAGTTAATTTAATTTTTACATTGTCTTCTGTCTCTCAGAAAGATGCTTCAGATAGTATGGTCTGTTTTAATATTGTCAAAATCCCAAAGAAAGAAACATTATTTGATTTTTATTCCAAGCTATGAAATTGTTCAGACGAGCAGTCATAAGATATTTTTTCCTGCTTTAAAATGTTTCAAAATCAACTCCAATCTACATATGTGAGAAAATACATCATTCATAGTAGTCTTTAGATACTGTACCTTAAATATTTCAAATTCTACTATGCAAAATTTCAGCCTGCTAATTGGTAAACTTTTTTTCTGAATGTACTATTTCCTTCGATTCCTGCCACAAAACAGCCACATTTCATTTCATTTCATTTTAGAAGTGTCTTAATTCCAGTGATAGTGAATAATTCTGGTGCTTAAACACAAATTCCAAGGCAAAAGGAGTACTAAGTGTGCAGTTATGATTTCAATAGTTTCAATTTTAATGGAACTTTAAATGAGGCAGGGAATCCTGTATGCTTCCTCTCAAAATTGTATAAGATTCCTTCTAGAAATTATACCTAAGCAGAATTCTTAAATATATGAAAGTTTCTACTTAATTTTTAGTAATATCCTGGCAAAATTTAACAAGAAATTCATCTTGTGAAGTTTGCAGCTTGCTGAGATGTCCCACGATTACCATAGTTAATGAATATATATGATATATAGTATTATTTAGTGACTAATTGCTGAAGTGTGACAAATACTGTCCATAGTGTTGAAATATGCAAGAGATAATCCCCTATCCTTACTTTGCAATCAGAACAAAATAAGAAGGGGCTTAAATTAGAAATTAGAATTGAAAGACAAACTCAATGTCTAGGAAATAGACTGCAGGAGAGATCTGAAGGCCTGGAATTTGTTCATGTTACTTAGAAATGTTTTGTTGTATTTAATGGGGACTCTATCTCATGAAGGAATTGGTATTACTGATAAATTTAATCTTAATATCTGAGGTTGTGTTACCATGAGTCCTTTTCTCTGAACTGAACATGACTTGTCTATAAAGGACACTAAACACTGTTTTGAAAATAGTATATGGCTCTCACCTTAAAAGGGAGTATATCTGACTACTGAAATACTCCTGCCAACAAAGTAACTATAGCAATAGTATGGAAGCAGTATCAAATAACACAAATAATTGACAAAATGAAGAACCACCAATGAACCTTATCTATTTGAGGGAGAGGGAGAGGATATTTCAAGTTTAAAGATATTAATGACTGCCATTATGCATTCATAGGTTGATATTAGTGAACTTCAAGATCAAAATTTCCTAGTGAAAAATTTTGAAAATATCTACAATAGAAACTTTATTGTCAAAACAGCTGTCTAGCTACTTCATTAATCTTTAGGTATAGATAGTAATTTAATCATGAAACACAATTCCACACCTCCAAGTCACAAATATATGACACGGTGAGCTTAGGGAGGAAAATGGGATTTTCTCTTCTGTGGCTTTGGTAATACCATCTGGTACCTCTGGAAGGGAATATCTGCAAAGAACTTGTCTCTAGTGTGTTGTCATCTGGTACCAACTTCTAGAACAGCTGAGTGACATGCTCATTTTATGTGTGTACTCACAAAATAGTATCCAGAAAAATTCTGAGGACTGTAATTTACAACCACAGTAGTATAAATCTTTTTAAAATATGTACTTGGCTGATGGCTCTGTACAGATCTCCCATGTAAGTCAGACAAATCGTGGGCCAAAGATGAGTGACTAAATTAAAAAAAAATCTGAGTAGCTTACCTCTACTTCCTGTTTTATAAAATGTTAAGAACTGAAAAAAATATTCAGATAGTGATAAACTTGAAATATTTGTGCAACATTTCATCTAACTCAGTTACAAAAATTTACATGTTGAGTGAGAACCTTGTCAACATTTATCATTTGCAGTAATGAAGAATGTTTATTAAGATTAATCTTTTACTACATTTTGTTTCTGTACAATTATTAATTTATTTGACTTTATGTTAGTGAATTAATTTTCAATAGTTGCTTCCTCCCACTCCCCTTCAAATGTTTAGGCTAGATAATAGAGTACTGATAATTTACAATTACATAGTTGTAATCACTTCAATTTTCAATCATTAGCTTAAGTCAATTTCTCATAGGGATGGAAAATAAGTTTCTGGACTCATCCAGGTAAAATATCTTTTTAAGTTTTGTTTTTAATTTTAGTTCATATTCCTGAGTAAAAGTGTATGTGGATAATATAAAAGGAAAGAGGAAGAAAGAAGATACAATGGCTATAAAACCAAAACTAACAACTTGATAAGTAATATCAAAATATTTTTATTTGTGTGTCTCTAATTAAAACTATTACTAAAACTGGAATTCCTCTATAAAAATCCAATTCCAATCCAACCTAAGATTTTTTCCAAAAAAAAAAAAATTTCAGAGATTAGACATAATATACTTCATGCCTGAACTGCTCAAATGTAAATATAAATTTTTCCAGAGTTCCATCAGTTTGTTAAAAAAAAAAAACCTTTCAAACAATACTATTAAATTTCACACACATTTTTTTCTGCACTGTAGCCATTATATCTTGTCAATCTTTCATAGAATATGTCTGTTTCAACAATGTATTTTTCAAACTGAAGAATAATCAGGACAACATAGTGCAGTTATTTTGAAAAGCACACCTGTTAGGCAGCCAAAAGACTGCATAATTTCTCTCCCCCTCAAATCACAAACTGTCTGAGGCATTTTTCTCTGATAAAGAAGAAACACTGAATGAGGTATCATCAGGCTCCAGCGAGGCATGATTGAAATCCATGTCTTCTAATTCAGGAGGTAAATCTGATAGCAGTGCCTGAGTCAGAAAAATCAATTTTTTTCCATTAGTATGTGTACAGATTTTTTTTCCCAATTTTATGTTAAAAAATATTTTCACAATGTTGTATTTTTGTGAATTTAAATAAAGCATCATCTCTCTTTCAGGATCTTATACAATTTCTTGCCCAAAGGAAAACTTCTTCATACACTATTAAGAAGGTACAAAAATACTAGACGTTGAGAGTGTTGATTATGTAGAGTGGAATCCTGAACATAGGAGAATTAAGGTGGGAAATGAATAAATATTCTGAAGCAAGTGCTTTGAAGTTTTTGAGGTGAGCAATTTTTATACTAGTTTTGAATGTTCACTTATCACTGCTAAAGAGCTTTAACATTGTGTTCATTATTAAAAAATGCATGCACAGTTATGCTATTCTTTAGCAAAAACACATTTCACAAAATACTTTTTTTGATGTTTAGTGGAAGAATGAACTTTGAAGTTAGGAAAAAATGTTTAGATATTCTACTTTAGACTGAACTTTTAACATCTTAAAGAGACTGATTCTTTTTCTTTACTTAGGCTATTTCTATAACTACAGATGGCCAAGCCCCCACCAGGGCACAGATGAATCATTGGCTCTAGCTGTTGTGATGACATATCTAGAGGAAGTAGTTAGGGTAAGCTAAGAATCACTAACTAAGCTTTACCATGGTCCAATTGTTTCATATGGAATTGTAGAACATGCATTCATACTAGAGAAATTAGATGATTAATCAAGTTTTATATGGCTGAATGGCTGATGGTGCTAATGTCCCACTTGACCAAAATAAATTATGAACCAAATGATTGATTTGCTACTCTCAATACTAAAAATAATGTGGCATATCTGGCAATTTTTAAATAGCATTCCTTGTAGTGTGGGTTTTGGGTTCAGTGTAAGCAGAGATAGAAAGAACAGGAACAAATGAAAACTTGCCACTATGCAATTAAAGAGCAGAAAGACAAGACATCTTGGAAAACATATAAAATCCACTGTTAACAATAAGACAGTATTAAATTAATCTCTTTATTAAAAGAAGTGACATCTATAAATCCTATACCTTTTGCCTTGTATCACAGAGGCAAGATCAAACATTTCTCCTTTTTCAAGATGTGCAAGAAAAGATTAATTCCTATCAGGAAGAAAAGCTGTTATTATATTTATTTTATATGATTAAATTGCCCATAAATTTCTTGCTGACATTAAGAGTATTTACACAGCAAAGTAACCTAAAGGTACTACACATTTTCTAAGGTGCTATGTTGCAGTAATATGACTCAGCCATTTTCTTCCAGAACAGGGTTTACCACTCTCACAGTCCAAGTGCTACAGGGCCTTTACCTGGTCATTGGATTTAGTTCACTTAACAATTTTGAAGATTCTATATTAAAGAGGGCAAGGTGTTCAAATTAACACTCATTGAACATGTGCTTAGATTTGGAAAGTCAAATGGATGAGGAAATTTAATGATAGTCTACCTTGTAGTGGGGACCCTGCAAATAAGACAAGCACTACTATTTATTTCTTTGCCATTGCATTACACATAGTTGACTTATTAAAATGAATGTAGTAATAATGTAAAAAACTAATATCTGAGATAATATAGAGCACTACTAGTGCATGAGGTCACTTTATAATTCTTTCAATATCTTACTGAAGTGCAACATTGACACACTTAACACAGTTTTAAATTATACCAATTGTTGAAACCTCCTTTTTCATAAATACTTAAGTAAACACAATTAAATTTATTATAGGTTCTTCATCAGGGACAGCTATCTTCAGGGTCTGACCTAGTGTCATTCTTCTTAAGAGATTAAAGCACTTCCCAAGTATATGATCAGTCTCTGTAACACTTATTCTAGATCCTAAGTTATTAATACCAAACTCTATAATATTAATACTTCTGATAGTCCTTGCAAAGTGGAGAAATTAATGCTCAAGGATATCAATTTAATTGGCTAATATCACATAATGAATTACCAGGGGAAGAAAGATGATAACTTCTGACTAAATACAATGCTGACAATCTTATTTTGATTTTTAAATGGATATTGATCTAAAAAGCAACAGTAAACCTTTGGGTATGCTAATGTTTCATTCAGAGAGTATCATATTTCTTTAAACTCAGTACTTCTTCAATGGGCCAAAATATTCTGTGGGCCATGCATCTCACTCAAATTACCCAAATCAAGATTAATGGAATGGGTCTGATTTTTTTTTTTTTTTTTTTTTATGAAAACCCAATGACATGATGTTTTTCTTTTATTAGGTAGAACAAAATTTAATCCCTTCCATAAATAAACCTCTAAATATTTCATAATGTTAAGACCATTAGTTTAGGAAATGATCTAGATTGATTATTACTGTGATTCATTATACCCAATATTAAATGTGAAAATCAGCAGTTTATAATTGGCATATTGATTATATTGCCTACAATGTTCAGTTTTTGTGTCCCTTTCTCTTTTGGCCAACTTTTTATCCATATCTTACTTAGTTGACTAGGTTTTTATCAGAGGAAAAGAAGAAGAGGAGGGAAAAAATAAAATCCACATTAGTTACTTTTCTTCTTTGTTAGTTGTCTTGGAGAAAGAGCCAAACCTAGAATGAAGTTAGAATTAGAAAATGAAATGGAGTCAGTGTGTTATTCCTAGATGTCAAGAGACATAGATAAGTGCTAGTTACTTGACCATACAACTCTTAATTCAAAACCATACTATTACTTTTGACACTGGGACAACACTCCAAGTTAATCCTATGGTTGGACCTAATTTTTCAAATAATTATTTAAAATTTATAGTAGCCTTGAGACCATGTTCAAGACTACTACTCTTGTTCATTAAATTCTGTAATTTAGGTTCCTAAAAAAAAAGAAGCACAATTTTAGTATGTCACGGAATATGCATAATTCGCATAAGAAAGCAATATGCTTAAATGAAACTGACAAAGGTAACTGAAGGCTACTGTGTCTTGGGATGCCTTGTGGGAGGGGGGCTAAGGGAGCAAAATTCATGAAACAGGACATATCATAAAATATATACAGTGATTTGAGCCTCGAGAGTAAATTATTTTAGTTTAGATTTTGTGATTCAGCACTTAAGTAAAACATATAAAGACTTCTTTTCATTGACGAAAAAGGAGACTTAGGGGATTCTGTAACTTATCTTTTCCCCTTCAGATATCTGGGATGGGTTACATATGTGCAGTCTTGTTTGGGTATAGGGATGAATTTTTGTACTCCTGATATTCCTTGATGGATAAAACTCTGAGACTGCTTCTTAAATAATCGTTCCTGTGTCTCCCACCACTCATATAGAACTTCTCTGACAAGGAATAAGTGTAGTGGCAAAAACGCAAAACAAATTTAGTATTGTATAATATTACATGGAGCATGTGTTTTAATTTTATATGTTTTACCAAGCCTAATAAATTATTGTATAGATTTAACACAACAATAGAAGACAAAATATAATTTGGAAAGAAGTTGTAAACAAAAATCCACAGAAAGAAACAAAAGACCTTATATTTTACCTATAGAGACTCAAAAACTCTATGTAAATTAGGGAATGTAAGTGATGTGCTGTGGTCACAAAGAATTTCACAAAGTAATTTCCTGTTTTCTTAGGTATAAGCAATATAATACAGAATATAAGATATCCAAACATTTGTGAACTCTAGTAGGAGCTGGCAGGAAACTAAGATCCAGCAGAGAGATAAATAAAAACACATGCCTCTCTAGTTAGGGTGTCCCAATCTTTATCAACATTTTGAAGAACTTCTTTAAAGTTTTTTTTTTTTTTTAATTGTGTGGGTACAAAGAATTAGGTTACACTAACGCAGTTGTTAGATAAAGTCCCTCTTGTAATTGTGTCCCATCCCCAAGTATTTTCCTACATAAGAATTAACCTGAGATTTATAAAGCATGTTAATCAGTTATTCTAAATTTCCACTAAAGCAGCACACAAAATATGAATAATTGTTCTCATGAGAACTGTGTTTTAAAAAGCCCACAAAATAACAAATCCTTCCTCTATGCCAAGAAGAAATGTTGTATAAAATGAAAAGATATGAAGAACTCAAGGGTAGCACCTGTGGCTCAAAGGAGTAGGGTGCCAGCCCCATATGTTGGAAGTGGTGGGTGAAAACTGAGCCCCAGCCAATAAATAAATAAATAAATAAGTAAAAATATATGAAGAACTCAAACATAATATGACAATTTTTAACTTGTTAGATCACAGTTTACTAGTCTCTTTTAGTACCTACCTGCTGTTGTTCCTTATCTTCAGCTTTCATAGCTAGTATCAAGCTTCTAACAAAAGTCTGAAGCTTAAAGTATTTTTGCTTTTGAATCTCTAGCTCATTTTCAATGAATTTCACTTCTTCATTCTGAAGGAGAAAACATCAAACGATACAATTACCTGATATAAACCTAGGACTATACGTGTTGGATGCAAATAACACTCTAAAAAGTAAACAAATTGGAGGGACAATAAAAATAAAATGTTAGAATAATGAATAAAAATCACAGCAGGAAATTATCCTGTTCCTCAAAGTCTGCCTTTTAAATAAATCATCAACAAAAAATAACTTACAAAGGTTAAAAATCCAAAAAAATAAATTTCATTAAGAGAAAAACTGGCTCAGTGCCTGTGGCTCAAGCGGCTAAGGCACCAGCCACATACACCTGAGCTGGCAGGTTTGAATCCAGCCCAAGCCCGCCAAACAATAATAATAGTTGCAACCAAAAAATAGTGGGGTGTTGTGGTGGAAACCTTTAGTCCCAGCTACTTGGGAGGCGGAGGCAGGAGACTTGCTTGAGCCCAGGAGTTGGAGGTTGCTGTGAGCTGTGATGCCACAGCACTCTGCCCAGGGCAATAGCTTGAGGTTCTGTCTCAAAAAAAGAAAAAAAAAAAAAAGAGAGAAACCAAGAAACAGTTCTGTTCATGGAAAGACCCCTTGTATGTCAAATCTAATTAGCCGTTGGAATAGAATTAAGAATAAATAGAGCCCAATTTATCCCAATAGCAGTAGCAGATGCAGTGATACAGAATGTACCATTCAGAAAGTCAAATACCAAGAATTAAAAAGGTTATTTTGCATCAAGAAGGAACTGAAATTACTAAAAAACTATCTTAACTGTTTTTCTGAGGCCCCTGAATTAAGTAGGAGTTTTATTTTATTTTATTTTATTTCTTAAGTAAGAGTTTTATTCAAAAGATATTTCTAAACTCTATGAGACTCCTTTATTTATCAGTAAAATTGATATTATCTTTCAATCCTTTGGCATTTCTAGGTTTGAGTGAGGGTTGCAACGACCATGAAAGTGCTCTAAATAAGTTTCCTATTAAAGCTACAATAATCAAGACAGTGTAGTATTGGCATAATGGTGTGTGTGTGTATGTATATATGTGTGCGTATATATATATATTTATGTATACATATATGTATACAAAATGAAGAAGATAGGCACATGGCCTACAGAGACATGAAAAAATGATCATTACCTTTAATCATCAGAGAAATGCAAATCAAAACTACTTAGAGATATCATCTAACTCCAGTAAGAGTGGCTCACATAACAAAATCCCACAAATACAGATGTTGGCATGGATGTGGAGAAAAGGGAACACTTCTGCACTGCTGGTGGGAGTGCTAGCTAATATATCCGTTTTGGAGAAGAGCATGAAGAATATTCAGGGATCAAAAAGTAGACTTGCTGTTTGACCCTACAATTCCTCTACTAGGTGTATATCCAAAAAACCAAAAATCACTTTATAACAAAAATATTTGCACCAGATCACTCACTGAAGCTCAATTCATAATAGCCAAGTCATGGAAGAAGCCCAACAGCCCACTGACCCATGAATGCATGAATGGATTAATAAATTATGGTATATGTATATCATGGAATATTATGCAACCTTAAAAAAGATGGAGACTTTACCTCTTTTACATTTACATAAGTTGAGCTGGAACATATCCTACTTAGTAAAGTATCCCAAGAATGGAAGAAAAAATATCCAATGTACTCAGTACTATTATGAAACCAATTTACAATGACTTACACTTTCCTATGAAGAATAGATCACAACTATAGCCCAAGATGAAGGAGGCTGGGAGGGGAGGAGGGAGGTCAGGTCTAGGGAAGGTGAATGGTGGGATCACACCTATGGTACATAATGCAAAAGTACATGTCGGATCTATTAGTATAGAGTATAAATGTATTAACACAATAATTAAGTAAATGAGATGAGGTATATATTAACCAGCGTGATGTAAGCATTCCTAATTCTATATAAAATGAGCACTTTGTACCCCATAAATGCATTAATATATATCTATGTGTTCACAATTTAATACAAAAAAATGACAAAAAAATAAATGAATGAATGAAATAAAATGAGAAAAAAAAAGTACTGTGGTAATTCAATAGACAAAGAAAGTGTAGTCTTTCAAACAAACAGTGGTTTAAGAAATATAAATCCAAACTGGGCACAGCAGCTCATGTCTATAATCCTAGCACTCTGGGAGGCTGAGCTAGGTGGATTGAGCTGATGGGTTCGAGACCAGCTTGAGCAAGAGTGAGACCCCCTTCTCCAAAAAATTAGCTGGGCATTGTGGCGGGTGCCTGTAGTCCCAGTTACGCGGGAGGCAGAGGCCAGAGAATCACTTGAGCCCAACAGTCTAAGGTTGTTGTGAGATATGATGTCATGGCACTCTATTGGGGCTACAAAGTGAGACTCTGTCTTAAAAAAAAAAAAAAGGAAAGAAAGAAAGAAATGTAAATTCACATACAGAAAAGAAAAGATTTTCATGCCTGACCTCACAGATAAAATGTAACCAGACCTAAAATATAAAACCTAAAACAATGAAATGTCTAGAGGAAAATATAGCATAAAATCATTGGGAACTTGAGTTAGGCAAAAATTTCTTAAATAGAAGTTAAACAGTATGAAGCAAAAGGAAAAGACCAATAAATCCTGTCTCTTCAAATATACCATATAAAAAATTAAAGTAAAAGCCACATATTGGGAGAAAATATTTTCATATCACATATCTGAAAAAAGGACTTGTGTCAAATACATAGAACTCTTGCAATTAAATTATAAGACCAGTAAAAGAATAAAAATCAGGTAAAATATTGAACACACACTTCATCAAAAAAAAATCCAAATGACCAATAAGCATGTAAAAAATGCTTTACGTGATTTTTCATTAAGGAAATGAAAATTAAACACAATAAGATACTTCTACTGACACTCTATATAATCACGAAAGTTAAAGAGATTGAAAATACCATGAGCTGTTGAGAACATGGTGGAATTAGAAGTTCTCATAAATTGTTTTGGGGAGTGTAAAATGATAAAGTCACTTTGGAAAATATTTTGCCAGTTTCTTATACATTCAGCATGGTCTCTCTTACCTTATGACTCAGCAATTCCTCTCTTAGGTGTTTACCCAAAAGAAATACAAACACAAAACTCATGTCTACACAAAGACATAGATGAATATTCAAAGCAGCTTTATTAATAATAGCTCCAAACTGGAAACTGTGCATAATGGAAACAGTGGTGGTGTTTGCACAACTATGTTCACTTGTCAAAAAATTCATCTAAATGCATAATTAAAGAGGTGAATTTTATTGCATAGAAATTATGTCAATAAACCTGGTTAAAAATTTTTAAAACTCAGAAAAACATCTCTCTTTCCCTCCTATATAATTAAGGTTTTCTACATTTTGACAATCATCTCCTCATTATCTGCCCTCCTGCCAGCCTTTGGAAATCACCATTCTACTCCCTGCTTCTATGAATGTTTTAGATTCTACATAAGTGAGAGAATGGAGTATTTGTCTTTCTGTACTTGACTTATCTCACTTAGCATAATGTTCTCCCATTCCATCCATGGTCTTGCAAATAATAAAATTCCTTTCTTTTCAAATCTAACTACTGTGTGCAATGAAAATAGTAAATAATAGTGTATCAGACAGTCCAAATTTCTAAGGGAGTTAATTTCAAATGTTCTCCCCACAAAAAGCTATAAATATATGAGGTGATGGATGTATTAATTAATGATTTAATCATTGCACATAGTAGTCAGAAATCATAACATTAGTTTTTACACCATAAATTTATACATATACAATTTGTCAATCTACAATTAAAAATAAAAATTATTAAAATAAACAAATAATCAGTCAGCCCATTTCTCAAAAACAATGAAAATAGGCTATGAGTATTCTCTTAAGCTGGAGAACTCATCTCAAGAAACATAGAGTATCTTTGCCAGCATTTGCTCAAAAAGCTCTATAAAATATATTAAAATTAGTTGATTCTCTGGGTATTTTTGTAGTTTTCATATAATGATGTATTAAACATATTCAATCTGTGAATATGATTACCACATCATTTATTTTATCAAATCAGTATAGATTCTGATAAACTGCTTCCTTTTCAGATCATTTAATATGAAGTGAATCATCTGCACAAGCTAAATTTCTTATCCAAAGACACTTGGTCTACAACAATCTAAGTCACAAATAACCATTATAATAAAATTCAACATGCTCCTGCCATAATACATTTTACTAATTTTATTAATTTATTTTTATTAGTATTCATTGTCAGAGTAGTAGTGTTAGTAAAGTGCTGACCACGAAGTCTTCTCAAATATAGGTGATGTCCATCATCATTATAATAGTGTCTGCTTTAGATGCACAGTCCTTCAGAGCTTTACTCACAGTCCAATAGAAAAAATTTTGAAAATAGTAACTCACTTTTATAAAATTCACAAAATGAAGTATTTATTGATATGCAGAAATTTAGTTCTTCATGCAAATATTTTCCTTCTCAGTATTTATGCAAAATTTCATAAACATAAACTACTTTAAGATAATTTAATATTGCAGATATTTTCTTCTAGGAACTGCTTTTTGACAGCCTATCAAACACTTCCCAGATTACAGTCAGTCATTTATGTCTATTTTAGAGATTTTTCCTAAGTAAATGAAATGCTTGTGAGAGAAACAAGATAACATCAGTAACTGAAATTTCACAAAAAAGATCTACTTCATTTTTCTTGATGTTAACACTCTCTATTACTTATTACCAGCAAGTTTTATCTATTCTTCTCCAAGATGACACTGGGAATAATTTCAGGTTCTATCTGGACAAGGGCTTTGATTTCTGAGCAGGCTATTAATGGCTTCTAAGCCTGAGATGTTATTTTATGATATAGCTATTCATGCTTTAGGCATAGAGCCTATCACCTTGTCTCATAAGCATTTTGTATAGTTAGAATTCCCAGCAAATTATTTCTACTGACTGTATCTCAACCAAAATTTCCACTAGGCTTGAAGTGAGTATCGATAGTTGCACAGTAATAATTATCAAATGCACCACAAGACATTCCTTCAGCTTGCAATAAGAATAGACTTTTTAATTCAATATGGGAAAAATTTTATAATGATCCAGATTCTGATCATAATTGATTTTATATAAATGAGCACTTACATAATAGTATTAAAATTATTTCCAGAGATAAATTAATCCATTTATTCACTCATTCAGCAACTACTATAGTTACAAGCTCCTATGTGCCAGGCTCTCACTCAGGTATCACAGAGATGAATAGGGTAATTCTGTGCATCTCAAGAAGTTTATGATGAATATATAGTCATGTGCTACATAACAATATTTCATTTGGCCCATATAATTATAAGGGAGCTGAAAAATTCCTATCACTGGGTGATGTGTCTTTATAACACCATAGCACAACACATTACCTTTTCTATGGTTAGATACATAAATACCCACCATTGTGTTACAATCACATACTATGTTTGGTACAATAATGTGCTGCCAAGGTTTGTAGCCTAAGAGCAATAGGTTATATCATATAGTCTGGTTGTATAGTAAGATACACTATCTAGATTTAAGTCCACTCTATGATGTTAATGCATTGACAGAATTTCCTAAAAATTAATTTCTCAGAATGTATGCCAGTCTCTGCCCTTAAATTATGCATGACTGTACTGAGGAAATCAACAAAGTGGTTTGCATGCCCAAACAAGCGACACTAGTATGTGTATGCAAATAGAGTACACCAATTTTCTCTGAAGACAGATTAAATTTCTAAGTCAGTAAGGCTGTTTTTAATCAACATACTGAAATCAGCAATAAATTCTATGTGAGGTTTCACTTACCTTTCTTTTAGAGTTGAAGTAAGAAAGTTCACATATGAAGTGAATTGAAATATCTTTTAAATGATTATAAAAAGATGTACTTTTTATACAGTTGCTGATTTTTGAGAGTTAATGGAAAGAACTTCATAATGGGCCAGTGAAGGACACTTGATTTCCACAGAATGTATCACAATGAAAAACACTGGATTACTAATATGTCCTTTAGCATTCAATGAAAATATTAACTAAAATTTCTCAGCTGGACATTCTTCCCTGCCCTGCCCTGCCCTGGTCTTCAGCTCCAAACCCCTTCAAGTGGGCTCCCGCTCCAAAGGGTAGAGAAGTCCTGTAAAGAATCCTCTGAGTTGTGGACTCAACCCTATTTGACCTGTTTGAGAGGGCTAAGTGGAGCACACTTAACAGCAGTGCAATCCATTCCCTTCTTCTGTAGTATCCACAGCCTCTGCCAAGAGGTGGTCTGCAGAGCCATTTTAATACTGAACTGTGCATTTAGAAATATTATATGACCATGTAGGAGAGAGTTGCATTATATCTTGTACATCTGAACCAACAACTTTGTAATTTTGTTGGTTGGAAATATATTTTAAATACAGGATTATATTGTGGTCTCTGTCCACTTAGCAAATAAATTTCAAAAAATATTTTCCTGTTTGTTTATAATGTTCAACATTCTAAAGCCTGATATGAACATGTGGAAAATAAAATCTGTTGAATGACATAAATTTTAGTTATAGTAAAGCAGAAAAAGATTTTTGAGAAAATAACAGCTGTTGCCTTTTTTGATTAAAATTTTTGATAAAAAAATGAACTGAAACAGCCCAGTACTGTTAACATTATAAGATTACTGGTCTCTGCTTTAGAATACTAATGATAATTGATAAAAAGTAATTTTGTATATGAAAAGAAGGACTATGTGGCCAAAATCACAGAAGACCACAAGACAACCTACTAAGACAGGATACTAATTAACAAAATGACAGCATCTATATATCTATGCAGAAAACTTATGGACATACAGACTGATAGTTTGTCAAAATTTAATAAAAACAAAATTATGTATAATATTCCATCAAAGTAAACCTTTAAGTCTAGTAACAAAAGATATTAAAATAGGTCAACTCTATTCCTATTAATATTATATTTGCTTTGAAAAAAATTTTATTAAATCATAGCTGTATACATTAATGTAATTATGGTGTACAATGTGCTAGTTTTATATACAATTTAAAATACTTTCATCAAACTGGTTAACATAGCCTTCACCTCATTTTCTTAGTTATTGTGATAAGAAATTTATATTCTACACTTAGTAGATTTAACATGTACTCTTGTAAAATGCACCTGGGGCAGTGCATAGTGTTGGTTAGTATGAAATTTATGACAAAGCCTTTCTTTCTAAAGCCAAGATTCATTTTTTAATGATGGCAAAGGGGAGATTTTTTTTCCAGTGGCCCTTGTTAATTTTATCCTTATTTAAAACTTCTCTGTAGACTATTTTTTAAATTTAATAATACACTTGCACTTCCCCACCTTGCCATATACCCATCAATATTTCTGTGGATCAGCAATCTCTCATAACCACTAAACAAGCCACTAATAATTAAAAGGCTCAGAACTCTGACGGATATTGACCTTGCCTGAAAAAATCAGTACAAAGCCCCCAAATGATTACCTTATCAAATGGGAGTAACATAGGTATTGTGAAAATCTGCCTCATTTAATACCTTCTCTTAATGAACACAGAATTTCAAATTACCTTGTAATCCAAGGGAGAATTTACTTGTTCTATTTCAGAATTACTTATCATGTCACTTTCTTCATCATCAATAATTTCTATTTTCTGTAACACAAGTAGAAAAGTTTTCATAAATATATATTAGATTATTATCACAATACTCCTAATTTATAGAACATATGCATTCAATGTTCAGGTTATCTAGTCTAAGTTATCTGGTATAAGCTCTGATAACTGGCTGCTCAGTGTTACACACAGTTTACCTGAGCCACGACACTTTACTTTTAGCTGATGAATGCCTAGTCACTAAAATGATTTTAATACTATTTAAAATAGAAAATTCCTAGGTGGCACCTGTGGCTCAAAAGGGTAGGGCACTGGCCCTATATGCTGGAGGTGGCGGGTTCAAACCCAGCCCTGGCCAAATAAATAAATAAATAAAATAGAAAATATCTTTCACAATATCCCTGAGAAAATATGCATCCAAACTCTGCTTAAATATATTGCCCTCCAGTGATGGGGAACTCACTTTCTGTATGGTTAATCTATAAATGTTAATGGTAAACATATAAAACTCATAGGATGGGCTTTCTCTTTAAAGTCTCCATGTGCCACTTTACAACTTCTAATGTAAAGTGCAAACATGTGACGTATATTCCAAAGTTATTTTTTAAATTCATATATTTACTATACTCCATTAGCTAGACAATTAGAAGCAGGCATCTATGATGTAATGATGAAAGTTACATGGTGATTTGTTTCATTCACTGTACAATAACACTGGGGATGTGAAATGGCCAGGAAGAGAGAAAGAGACAGAGACACTCACTCTTAACTCAAGGTATAACATAGTAGTGGGCCCACAGTAGGTACTAATTAAGTACTCATCAAAAAAAAAAAATGAACTAAAATAGCCCAGTACTGATGAAGAGAATGACTACCAATGGGGAGAGTAAAGCAAGTTCTCTAAACATGTAACTTTTCTTTAAAGGGAAAAATAAAAGACATAAGCAAAATCAACTCTATTTTTTTATTTTTCATGTAAAAAAACACAGTTAATGACAAACACCTTTAAATATTTAAACCCAGTGAACCCCCAAAGATTTTTAAAAGAGAAAAGCTAAGCTAGAGTTAGCTACTAGACAGTCTTTTGAGAATAAGCACATGAATAGTAATATGTTCGAGGCAGAATTTGAAAGCAGGCTTCCTACCAAACAGGATTGAGGGCATCACATTTGATATACTGCCTATGAGGAGGATATCATCCTATCACAGGGTTTGTGACCTGCAGGTTTCTGAGTCAGGAAAACTGCTGGAGTGAAAGTGCTTTCTGCTGTTGCCTGGAGATGAATTTAATGTTTTGTTTTCCATTATGATTGCTATCCACTTGGGACTTAATCATGTTGTTTCTCCCTAGACTTCAGATTTGATGTTTTTATGAAGTTTTTTTAGACTGTCTACCTATTTAGGAGTTTAGTCAATTCAAGAAAGAAAGCACAAAAGACCACTGTATAGATTTGTGCATGTAAATAGGTCTTATATATCTGTGTGAAATGTCATCCATAAATAATTGGGGGAATTCAAAAGTTACAGGCAGAGAAGATCAACCTTTGAAAGTTTAAAGTTTTGACTCTGAAAATCAATTGCTCTTGACAAATTAGGTGCCTAAGTCACTGTGAGTCATCCCATGTCATGACTTCATTCATTACCTTCAAATGTCTAGTCTGTTGCAGGGGAGATTCAATGTAGAAAAATTCAGGCTAAAAGTGAGCATGTCTTTAAAAGAAAATAGATTATAATTTCTAAATGTAAATAATGTACACAATAATTCTAATCTATGCCAGAAAGAGATTATTAGTTGGTGAAATTTAAGATTAGTACAATTCACAATTGTGGAAAACAATTATTACTACTAGATGAAAACAGGACTTGGCCTCAAAACCAAAGCTTGTTTTCCTATAATCCTGTTAAACTTGATGTCAGTAGGTTCAAATATCAAATTCAACCAGGACTGAAATCAAGAAAATGCAATCCTAAACTATATTCTGGATGTGGAAAATACTGGTATATATTTTTGATGTTTAAAAATAATAGCAAATATGTATCTTATGTGTTCAGCTCTTATCAAAGAGGTGTGGCTGACAAAGGATTGTAGTGTCAAATAAATAGTGTTTGTAATGGAAGGTAAATCATGAAGTCATAGCCATTTTGTAGCAAAAACATTTAATATAGGAGTGGTTTTTTAATAGTTGTAATCAGCACACAGTACTGATTCAAAAGCCAAAGTACAATGACATTCTATTTTATGTCTGACTTTATTTAAATATTATCTTGATTTCAGCATTACTTTGTGGGGTCAGAATATAAATAGACACTGCTAAAACAGTTTAATCCACACAGCCTGCCTCTGTCTATTAACCCTTAATAACGTCTTTCCTCCTCCCATGATTTTTAAGATAACTAACACAATCCAATTTAACTAGAAAGAAGAAAAGAGTCAAAACACAGTATAGATAGGTGTAGTCTCACCAGAGAACTCAGAGTCAGAAGTGCTTGGACATAACTGCCAGGACTAACAAAGGCTTCTTTCATGATTTCAGGCTAAACTCACTTTTAATTTTGTCATCTATCAAATGACAGGAAACCTGCTGTTTACTAAGACTATAGAAGAAAAATAGGTTACTAAGTACCAAATGGCATATATGTACTATGTTTTAGATTTTTATATTTGGAAGTCTCTTCAATCAAAAAATTAGAGCTACAAATGATAGCATTTTAAATTTCATTACTAGGTCTTCAGAGATATATTATTGCATTGGAAAAAGATCTGTTTTGGTCTGAAAGTGGAGCAAAGACTTTATTCTGACAATACTGATGTTGTCACCAACTGGAAACATCCTTGAAATACATCATGTAAGAAGGAAAGAATTTCAAGCTGTACATACCACATTATCTGCAGATACTTCATGGTGGTCCTCCTCCTTATGAGCCCTTGCCTCATTTAGAGCAACTTCATTGGATTCTTCTACCAAAATTAAAAAAAAGCCATAATTTCATTTTTTATTCCCCAAAACTTTATTGAAAATGCTTTTTCCACTTAATTTCTCTACTGTAAAAAGGCATAAATGGCAATTTTACTTCACACATGCTTTGTTGAGCAATTCTGCTTCAAACAATACTAAGAATTCCTAGAATACTAAGGAAGTAAGTGTAGATGGGGCAAATACAAGGATTGGAACAACTGTGGCTTTTGTAATTGAAAAAAATTCAAGAAACATATATTCTTAACTATGGAGGATTGCAGAAATCATTTAGGACTTATCCCTATAAATAAATACTATGAAACCACTAAAAATGAAGTAGAAAAATAGTTAACAATAATTAAAATATACATGATCTACTGGAAAGTAAAAAAATAAAGGTGACAAAACCTACTATGTGGGTAAATATAACTTTAATTTTTTAAAAATAAAATGTAAGTGTAAATGTCATGGAGACTAAAAGATTGGCATATTTACACCAAAACATTGTCGTTATTATTTCTGGATGGAATTATAGGTGATATTTTCCTTGAATTTTTTTTGGCTTGTTTATATTTAAATATTTTTCAAAAAGAATATTTACTGATCATTGTAATAAGGGAAAAGTGATAAAATAATTTTCAAATACATTAAATAAAACATAAATACAGAACATTTCTAATTTTATAGAAAGGCATGTATATGTGAAGACATATATATACACATGCACATACACATCCCTATATAATTGCAAAGAGAAAACGCTGGCTAAAAAATGTTCTATTTTCAGAAGGATTATCACTGAGGGGTAGGATTATTTATATTTTTGCTGTATTTCCCAGTATTTCTTCAATGAACATGAATGCCCTTTCTGATCAGGGTATAATATGCTAAAAATGAGAAAATAAATATAAGAAAAAAATTAATTCAAAGTAACCAGTCTACTAAAAAGCTCTACATGCACAGCCAAGGGAAGTGGCTGGTTTAAAGCATAGGTTCTCAGATTATCCTCACTTCAAACTTTAGACAAACAGGACAGTAATGTTTCTCTCCATATATATATATATATATATATATATATCTGTCATTCTTATTCTCTCTCTCTCTCTTTCTCTCTCTCCTATACAGCCATATCATGAGCTTATTTGGATAAACGCTAGTAGAATTTGTCAACTCTTTGTTAAGAGACATTTCATTTCACCTTAGACAGCTAAACAAAAATATTTACTAGCCTTCCCAAGATTTTTCCACATTCAGTCATTCTCATGAATAGACATATAGTGAGTGGTGCCTTGTATGAGTATGGGGGATGATCAGGAAGAAAATGGGCTGCTCCAGACATTCACATAGAAGAATTTAGAGAATTGAAGTTTAAGATATCCAGAAAAATCTTACCAGGGTTTTAATAAAAGTCCCTATAAATTTGATTTCTTTCTTTATTCTGTTTCCTTCACCAGATTTTCAAAAAATAAATTTCATTGTGTATATTTAAGGTATACAAAGTGATATAAAAAAAAAACTTGGAAAAGCCATATAAGTGAATAAAGTAGTGTAAGTGAAAAAAGTTATAAGATACATATACATATATATAATGAAATAGGTATTATAGTGCAACAAATTAACAGACCTATTCTCTCACAGTTACCCACTTCCCTCCCAAGAACAGCTATAATTTAGCAAATGTCTTGAATACTATACACTATCATCAACTATATTCCTTTTGTTGTACATTAGTTCTTTCAACTTGCTTGTCTTATATGTCTCCTACTTTGTATACTTTGACTTGCATTTCTTCATGTCTTCCTCTCTACCCTGATCCTGGTAACAGCTATTTTATTCTTTATGTCTGTATATTTGACTTCTTCTCCCATCATTTGACACAACATAGATGAACCTGAAGGACACAAGTGGAATAAGCAGGACACAGAAAAATACTGCACCATGTCAATTTTATGTGGAATATTAATAAAAACATATATTGATTTACCTTCGCAAAAATAATGGTTCTTAGAGACAGTAAACCACCTATTCATTATTCAGATATTTCAAATCACAGAAATTTCACACAGTCACTATGTAACTGACATCTAAATTAAATGAAGGAAAGAAACATTTTCATCAGTTTTAGTTGCAGAGCTGGTATTAGCACTCAGAAGAGAGGTTTTGTTGTTCATCCACCCATTCTCTATAGGCCTTATATTTCTGTTCCCATTTGCTCATAACTTTGTACATGATTCTGCTTTACTGGAAACTTATTTATGCATGGTTTTATTAATTGGAAAGATTTAAATAAAACCTATTTTGAGCAATTCTTAAATAGAAGGTTGCAAAGTGATAAGAATTGAATAAAGAATGGTTTCTTTTGCTTATAGATAGCTGTAACACTAGTGAAAGTTTGAAAGGAAAATATTGTCATGTGTCTGGTAATTCCTCAAGAAAAGTAACTCTGCTAATAGGAAAAATAAATAAGCACAATTATTCATCAGGGAACACTCTAAAGGACACTCTATGTGGTGGCTATATGCTTACACTAAGTAACTGTATTTAGAAGTATCTTTTATGTACACATCCACACAATATAGCTGAAAAAAGAAGCTTTTTTTTTTTTTTTGAGACGGAGCCTCAAGCTATTATCCCTCTGGGTAGAGTGCCATGGCATCACACTCACAGCAACCTCCAACTCCTGGGCTCAAGCGAGTCTCCTGCCTCAGCCTCCCAAGTAGCTGGGACTACAGGCGCCCGCCACAACGCCTGGCCATTTTTTGGTTGCAGCCATCGTTGTTTGGTGGCCCGGGCTGGGGATTCGAACCTGCCACCTTAGGTGTATGTGGCTGGCGCCTTAGCCGCTTGAGCCACAGGCGCCGAGCCAGAAGCTTTGTTTAAAATTTAATGTTATAAATGTTTATGGTTCTCATACTTTAAACAATTCACTGCTTAGGAGTATAAATATTTACAAGTGCTCATCCATAAAGATATTTTGTTTTATTTTTATTGTTGGAGATTCATTGAAGGTACAAAGAACCAGGTTACACTGACTGCATTTGTTAGGTAAAGTCCCTCTTATAATTGTGTCCAGTCCCCAAAAGGTATGTCACACACTGTGACCCCCACCCTTCTCTCTCCTTCCTCTCTCTGCTCTCCTTCCCCCATTGAACCATAAAGTCTCCATAAAGATGGAGACTTTATATCTTTTGTGTTAACCTGGATGGAAGTGGAACACATTCTTCTTATAAAGTGTCACAAAAATGTAGAAGCAAGAATCCTATGTACTTAAATCTGATATGAAGACAATTAAAAATCTAGTATATCTTATTTTTTGACATTAATTATAGACATAGAACTTTAAATTAAGGAGTTAAGTCATGCAACTATTACTTTAGCTTGAAGTTGTAGGAACGGTGAACCCAAGGACATTTTTTACTCCCACACCTCTTTGAAACAAATGAATAGAACTGAAACTGCTAAAAGATAAGCAGCACTTTTTGTTGGCTTTGCCTTAACCTGCCACTTATTGCATTTTAAAGCATAATCCTTATTTTTGTTTGTATAGTTTTTCTAGAAAACTTTTATGCTTTTTTATTTTAACATCAAATAGATTGTAAGCCCTGATTTAACAATTTTTTTTTTACCATTTGTAGACATTTAGAAGCGTCTAATCTTATGTAATCAACAGCCATATTAAAATATATTTAAAAGACTTCAAATTTCAGTTGTTGGGTTTCAGAAATACTGTAGTATGGATAGTATGATTATCCTATTTCCACATTTCCAAGATGCAGTTAATAGAAATTTCAAAGTAGAAATACATTTAACTACATTTTCACAAACTGGAAGATAATATGGTTAGTATATTTTAAAGGCATGGTATTCCTTTAGGCTAGATGATATAATTCACTTAATTATTATAAAAGGATCATATAGTCAAAATTATCGTATTAGTATTCTCCACTAACAAAATGAGGAAGAGAATAGTACAGAAGTAGTAGGAAACCATGCCACAAAGGGCTCTTTCAGTGTTTGAAAATGCTTTCATGCCTTTCTCTTGCAATTTCTGATGAAAATGAAAAAGTTCACCATGAAACTGTGAAAAATAAGCCATTGAGACAAATTCCAAGTAATTGTGCTTCTCTTCAAGTGTTTTTAGAATCACACATTAAATTCTCTCTCCTCTCTTTCTCATTAGGTCTTTATTACTATACCAGCTATCTAGAGAACATGCTATTAAATGACAAAAAAATACCAGTGTAGGAACAGTAAAATTAATTTCACTGTTTTTGCCTTAACTACATATTTTATAACATTATCCATTAGATGGAGAAGTGAAAATTGGGTAATGAAATTTCACTTAGGACTGTCTATATGTTCCTTTATCAGAATATTGCCTCATAGCTCTCCTACCCAACCACAGACACGCAAATTCCGATTTCTACCCTCTCCCTCACATAGGAGGGAGTCCTATGCCAGTCATCAGGCTCTAAGTAGCTAGTCATGAATCACTAGGAATAAGGAAGTATCCTCAGGAACAAAGAATTCAGGAAAGACTAACAGAAAACAAAATGTTTTAATAGACCAACTGTATAAAAAAACCCAAGGGTCTTGAAAATGGTGTGATGCTTCTTTTTATGTAATAGTTTAAAAATCTGCCTCAAAAATTTCCTGTACACTACATTCTCTATTATCACAAATATAATTTAAAAATATTGGAGTAAGGGAGGAGAGAGAAAGAGAATATTCACATTGATAACCTTCCAAACACCTGGTCTTAAGACACATGGCCCTCTCAATGCTAACAGCTTTTCTTTCCCTTCCATTATTGAATTTACTGCAACCTCATTTTCTTCCCCTTCCCCATGCAATTAATTTTTTTTTTTACAAAAATCTTATTGAATATGCATTCAATGGCTTCAAAATCTCTCATTGTTTTCTTTCCTTTCTTTCTTTCTTTATATTTTTTTTAACATTTTTTTCTTTTTATTGTTGGAGATTCATTGAGAGTACAAAGAGC